CTATTCTATTCTATTCTGTTTTCACTTTGGGACAGTTTCCTTGTGCTACCACATAGATTAGCTAATTACCTACCTTCATGTTTTCACCTCATATTTTTCTTGTTCTGTAGTTTAAAATGAATTCACAGGATGATCTGCTGTATTTCACCAGCAAATTTCCTGAAACTTCTTTTCGTTTAATCTCTCTTTGGTGGAGTGATGGATAGATAGAGCCTCTGTAGAGTAAACACTTTGTTTCCTTTGTAACAGGATGCTTTGCGGAATCCGTCGCTCTGTTGGGGCTACGAGAAAAACTGCGACGCAGAGAAACGCTTCAGCTATCCTGTCTGCACCAAGGTTAACTCCGGATGGTAACTGTTCCCAAGACCTCATTCACCAAATCGCATTTGATTCCTCAGTAGAATTGTTATTTTAAGCTCAGCATGTTCCTCACGCACATTGCTGGCTGCGCTTTTCCCCTCATCTGCCTAAATCTTGAATATGTCAGGGCCCGTTCGCTGGACGCAGCCCAGGAGCTTTTCTGGAAGCAGGCTGATTTTGGTTACGTCAAGGAGCGACTCTCTGAACTCAAAACACTCTGCAAGGCCGGCGAGCCGGTACGTCCGCTCATTTCCTTAGTTCTCACGAGCTTTCTGAGTCAACAGGAAAAAACAACGAGTCCAAAGAAAACAGACTCACTGTTCAACAAAAATGTAAAGACAATCAGGCAGGAGTATTTTTTGCTGGCGCTAAATAAGTCAGATGAAAAAGGGTTACCTTGAGAGACGATCCTCCCTCCCAAACTCTGATAGATGCTTCGTGAAAGTCAATTAAACGTGATTCATTTTCATGGTGCTTTATTTCCCCAGGGAGACTCGTCATTAAAATGCAGCAGTCACGCAAGGTTCTGCAGGGCAACGAATCTGTACCTGGACTTGCAAAATCCACGCAGAAGTCACGAGAGGTCGGTGGCGTTTAGAAACCGTTTCCCTTCCCCTAATAAAAGTGACCCGAATCTCGACCGTCTTCGCTGTCCAGGTATGACGAGGACTTTATCCGTACGGGGGAGATTGGCGGGCACTGCAAACTGAACAAGCAAGCGCTGGCAGCTGAAGGAGATCACAAGAGTCCTCTGCAGTCCTGGTGAGCGCCAGTCCGTTCACACACCCAAAACAAACATTTCCTGTAGCGCTTTGGTCTGTAGAAATGAGCTTGCAGTGTTTTTTTTGTGTTTTTTTTTAAGTGATAAATGTGCAGATCCCGAATAAGCCTTGAATTAAAACTTTAACACATTATTCTTTAACTAAAGAAAAATGTACACTTGACAAATGAATATAGAAGGAATCACAGTAGAAAAAACAACAACAATTTCTTTAGCAGCACAGAGAAACACCCACTTATTTCAGTCAAACATACAAACGGTCTTTACGAGAACGGAGTCGGTTTCACTACGTCTTAAAAACTTAGAATCATATTTTATCGGTGCAAAACTTCAAAGTTTTATACAAATGAAGACCTGAAAAATACAATTTACCTTTATATTAATATCCCTTTACTATGGTGCCCTTAATAAAACCTAATTATTCAATGGAGGCCATTGGTGTGTAAAATAATCCCAGTTTAAATCCAGATGTCCCATAAATCCATGATGGAACAGTTTGGTACAACTGCAGACTTACCAAAACGGGCCGGCCAGCCAGGGCTTTAATCAGAGAAGCAGCTAAGAGGCTCACACCGAGATCAACGGCTCAGGTAGCAACTGGACCAACAGAAGGTCAGTCGGGCAACTACACAAATCGTGTCTTCACCCGGTCTGACCACACTTGGTCAGATCAAAAGGTTCTGTCTGTAGACGTGCAGAGCTGCTAGAGACGTACAAAAACATCTGCAGCAAAAGGAGGCTGAATACAAATTAAACCCCCACGTATTGGATTTTTCATTCACATTACAACAATGTATTATTTTTTTCCCTTCCAGCTTCTAATTACTTTGCTAGGTCACAAAAAACCCCAATAAAAAACAGACGTTTGTGGTTGTCGTGTGGAAAAATGTGAAGAAAATCAAGTAATATTAATACCTTTTTCAGCAGACAGGGTGTCGTGGAAAAAAAAAAGGATTTCGAGTCACAACTGCAAAGTGCACAAAGACCTTTTAGTGCAATCTTTGTGCAACCTATAAGATCGATTTTTGACAATTGTTTTTCTCTTCAGCTGCCAAATATGAAATGAGGTCCTGAGGGCTCAACACAGTTGCTCTGTCAGTATGCTCAGACTGCAGGGACATTATGCATATGCTCATCATTTCACTATTTTATAATCAATTGCAGTGCAATGCATCACAGAAATGTCCCTTTTTTATTGCTGCGTGTCGGGTGTCTCCTTTTAACCTCACACATGCATCATCCACATCATGGCATACTGACTTGATACATTTTCTTCCGAGTTATGCTTCTTTTTCTTCTCCTTTAGACTACTGCCATACCTTATTCACCAGAGTACACAAAGTTTCCCTTAGACACTACATTTCATGTTGAATCCGTGTTTGTGGCCTCCGTTCACAATGTCAATGTTTATTAGTTATTTTCCCACGAAAGACTGATGACTGAAAGCCATCCAGAATGTCAGACTCTGTGCCCGTTTTTACATCCTACATGTCTTGGGATTTTTCACATACAGCTCTTTGCAACTTTGTCCTCAAAAAGCGCTTTGTAAATAAATTACATTCATTAATTTGGTTACACAAACACAACCCAGATGGTTGCAGAAATGTTGACTGCACACAGCTGTCCACTGAGGGACCTGGAGAATCCTCCCGAACTAGAATAGATAGAATAGATGTCAAAATTTACGACTTGCAAGCTTCAAGGCTGAGCATTTGGGCCAAGAGATGTGGAACCATGAATAGTCTGTGGTTTAACAGTGTGCATGTAGGGAGTTCATGTACATTTTAAACATTTTAACACCATACCCATAATGATCGCTGTGGCCTGCGGAAAGTTTCATAATGTAACTCCTTTTTTTATGTGTTAACACACCCACACATAAAATAACTGTTCCCTGACCGGGAATCGAACCCGGGCCGCGGCGGTGAGAGCGCCGAATCCTAACCACTAGACCACCAGGGACCTGAAAGGGTTTATGTGGTGGCCCATCACACGCTCAATGCTACTCTAAGGCTCATTGATTTTTATTGGTAAAGTGCCTTGAGACATTTGTAGTTGACACTATATATAAATAAACTGAACTGAAGTGAACATAGTGGGAATCCTCAGTGTAACAGAGGCAGTTCTGGATTAAAACAGTTTAGACAGAACTCATGACTACAGTCACTACATCCATTATCATGAATTATGAAATAAGTTTTCATAATTTTCAGAATTTCCACAGCATGTAGTTTTCAAATTGTATTTTTTTTATTTGAAGATGAAAGGAAAATTCTTTAAAAAAAATAAATAAAAAGTCTCTAAAAAAAAAAAGTAAAATAAAAGGCAGCAATCCTCTTTCTGTACATTGACTGAATACACACAGTTTCACATATCCTATTTATTAGGATATGTGTCTGTAATAAAACTATTTATTTATGATGTAAGAAAGAAGAAGCCAGTAGGAAATCTACACACAAATTAAGAAGAAAAGAATCGAGCCAGCCAGGAGTCGAACCTAGAATCTTCTGATCCGTAGTCAGACGCGTTATCCATTGCGCCACTGGCCCTCATGTTAAAGCACCGCCTCCACAGAGCATTTAAAGGCCGCGTGACTGAGCATGTGCTTCTCACAGGAGGGGGAGGGGATTTCAGGCACACCGACTCACAGCTCACATAACAAAGGACCTGTGGTTTCCCGAAACCCTAAACACGTTTTAATTTCTGTAAGACTGACTTTTGCTCATGAAATGCCATGTAAAAGTCATTTTATTCTCAATTTTTTGCTTCCGGCCTGCAAGCCTGTCCTTATATTTTAGATGGTTTAGACATGATGACTATGAAGTTATTTTTTTTTTTAAGTAAACCCTTTATGACTTCTCTTTTGTACAAGCAGAAAGCAGGTTTGTATCTTTAGTTAAAGTGCCTGGCAAAAGCATTCATACCTCTTAAACATTTTTAATTTCAATGTGTTTTAGTCAGATTCTTTTGAAGCAGGGCACATTTGTGAAGTGAAAGGACACTCATTTTCTTACAAGCTAAAAAGTGTGGCAGGAATTATTCTTGCCACAAGAATTGTGGCAAGAAGTGTTGTCCTTGATGGCAAGCCTCTGCTCTTTCTTCCCAATGAAAGATTCAACTTTCACTGCAATTATAGCTGCCAGTGTTATGGGGTGTGTCTCTAATAGCTCTGCACATTTAGAGTGAAATTTTATTCAGTTCTCACAGAATATGTCAGGCTGAGCCATTCTAACACAAGCATGCTTGCAGTATTTTTTAAAATGTACTTTTTTGAACCTTATATTATTTCTGCTTCACAGAGCACCCTTCCCTTATGATTCCCCCGCTCAGCTCCTTTAGACTAGCCAGCAGCAATTAGCACTCACCTGGAGGAACTGCCCTCTGCTGAGCTCATTATATGAGCTACTTCTCATTGCCATGCTGGTAAAAACGAGACAGCGGACCTATTTCAAGGCATTAAATTAGGAAGTAAAATTTCTTTTATGTCATAGTTGATATACATAGCATTTTTATAATTGAGTTAACATATTATTATGCTGTAAAATGGTACTATGTGCCTGGAAAATACATATACATGATTGTTCCCCTTTAAACTAAATCATCCCATTGTAGCTCTGGCTCTATTAGTCCTGTCCTTCTGGATGGCAAGCCTCTGCTCAGTCTCAAGTTTTTTGCGGCAGGTTTTCTTTTCTATGTTTAATTTCCACTTATGTGGCCAATATTCCCACAGTGTGATTCTTTTACATATTTGTCTTTTTTTTTCTTTGCACAAATACAACATAATACCTTTTTGAAAGTGCAGAATGATGATGATCAAAGTTCATAACGTTTTTGTAGGTACGCTGAACTACAGACGTACTCTGAGCTGAACTTCCGTCCCATGGAAGATGGCCACTGTGACATCATTATAGAAAGACCAACAGTTTTCATGAAGCTTGACGCAGGTGAGTCACTAATTGATTCACGTTTAGCTCTAGTTATGTAAAGAGGCCAAGTAAAGATGTCTCAGATGTCCGTTTACATTGTGTTGGCAATCATTTGAACTAAATTGACGTGCTTGTTGCCTTCCTTTTTGGAGAGTTCAGAGCATTGTTTATTCGTTGTTTTCTTGCCCAAAAGAAAAAAATAAATCGTTTCTTCAGTCATTATAAAAACCCTTATAGTGTTTTTTTGTTGTTGTTCTGACAGGGGTGAACATGTACCACCACTTCTGTGACTTTGTGAACCTCTACATCTCTCAGCACATTAACAACTCCATGAGCTCAGATATCAACATTGTCATGTGGGACACGGTGAGTACCAGTGGCTTCTCTTTACCATTTCATGAGGAATGAAAGTTTGATTTCAAATGTACACCATTATTTTTAGGGTTAAAAAGCAATTTGTGGCTTTAGTTGGCACAAATGAAGACAATTAAGTCCAGGAATATTGAGCTGGCAATTTGTTGTAAGAAAATCTAATCGTTTCATCGTTCGTAGCATGTTAAAGTTAAGCAAAGGGTTTTTGCTCTGGTTAATACGTGTGTTTTTTAGGGTACATGTGTTTTTAGGAATGACAAGAAGTATAATAGTTTTTAACAATACAAGGTATACAAGAGTAATCAAAAGTCTCAAAATATTTTGGAAACGTAGGGAAGACTGAACCTGGAGAGTGAGTTAATCCCAGCTCAGTATAGGTATGTAAAAATGTGGATTATGGTAAAATCTGTGTAATTTAAGAACTGAAAACTCACTTTGGAAAGTAATTAGATTTTGACCTGTGAAATATGTTTGAACCTTATAGTTTAGATTAATTTTTTTTCTGTTTGTTTTAATCATCTATGCTTATGTTTTTTTTATTTTATTCCAGAGTTATTATGGTTATGGTGATCTGTTCAGTGAAACTTGGCAGGCCTTCACAGACTATGACATCATCCACCTGAAGACGTATGACTCTAAAAGAGTGAGTCTGACCAAGTTTTGGGTGCAAATTTGTTCTTTTTTTTTTTTTTTTTTCAAAAGAAAATATTAAATATTTCCTGATTGTGACTGAAAGCTTATAGAGTATAATTAAAATTTGCATTTGAATACATACAATATTCTTTGTATGCCAAAATGTAATCACGCCCCATAAAGTAAATGTGTAATAACTACAGAGTTTATGCAAAAACATACTCCACATTAATCTAAATACAGCAAAACTCTCCAGAACTTTGTAATTATTTTTGCCTTTTTTTTTTTTGCATGGAATTTTGCAATATATTTTCCTCATTAAACCTCTTCCAAAATCTACTTACTGAAGTAAAAAAAAAACAGATTGGACACACAAACATTTTTATTCTTTAAATAATTTAAATAACTCAGTTTTTGTTGCTCGCCATTTCGGTCACGGACCAATTTTTTTTTTTATAACTATTTATGCAGAAAATTTTTCAATAATCCCAAAGTTAAGCGTTGGCGTGCAAAATTTGGAAAATGTGGAAATCTGTTGATTTTGTGTGAATTTCCACAACTTCAGAATCACAACAAACTGGAGTGACTGAAAACTATCAGTAATCAGTAAATCTTTAAAAGTCCAACTAGGAATCAGTAATTAACATTTATATAAATAAATCATCTAAAAAGAAAGCATTAAAATACTCAAGTAAATACTGTTTGCATTGCATGTATTCTAATAACAGTATTAATATTTCTCTGCCATGCCTTATTGATGGATTTCCGAACCCGTACAGGTGTGCTTTAAAGATTCCTTCTTCTCCCTTCTTCCAAGAATGAGATACGGTCTCTTCTACAACACACCTCTAGTAAGTTACCCTTCATGGATATGCAGCTGAAAACTGATACTGACATACACTACAAAAAGACATTGTTTTTTCTCTCACTCTCTTCATTTTTTTAGGATCATCAGAATTTTCTTTACTTTATTCACAGAGTTGCATCCATGAATGAATTGAGGCCTACTTTTGTTTTATTTACGTTTTTTGTTTGATATTCTGAAAATTCTGGGGGGGTTTCGGGGGGAGGTTTACTTACAAATACATCGATAAAAATTTTATTTTATATTTTATATTTGCTGTGGCTGCAGTAGAACTTCACATTTTAAATCCAAGTCTTCCAATAATTAATATTGCTGACCACTTGGCGATGTTGTTTGAACAGCCTAGAGCCATTTTACCTCACATTTGCTTTAAATGTGCCTTACGCAGTTTGATTTCATGCTGAATATTCTGGGCATTGGCTAGGATTCCGCTCCCCCCACACTTTTATGATTATCATCATTACTATTATTATTATTATTCATTGGTCTGTCTCCGGCACAAGCACGACAATATTAGGTTCAGTCAGAAACCTGCAATTTGCGTCAAATATTTATGTAATATATTCAAACCATCAGCAGGTTCCGTGTGCTCGGGTTATTTAAATGATAATTCCAAGGAGATCACTATAAAGATGATAGCATATAAATATGTGTTGTCCTGCGGTTCCAGCCTTGAGGTGTGAAATATTGCTAGGTCAGCCTCAAGCTGAAGCTGATTGCCCCTGCAGCATATGTCATGTTTTTATTCATGTGTTCACATTTAGAAATACTCTGCAGGAGAGTGTGCATGAAATTCTAAGACTTGTGTCAAGTGGATGGTCTCATGTGAAATTCATTTCACAGAGACAGGAATGTACGTTGCTAAATGTATTTATGTGGTTAGATGTAAAAGAGCCTTAATTCTAAAGCGATTCAAACTATTGATTTTGAGGATATTAAAAGTGAATGTCATGCGAGTGAACAGGTTTGTCTTCTGCCGATTGCAGGTCACTGATTGCCACACTGAAGGGATGTTCAGAGCGTTTTCTCAGCACGTCCTGCATCGGCTTAACATCCCGCAAAACGGACCAAAGGTAGGCGGGGGCTTTATCTGAAAAAAATAATTTCTTTCTGAGATATGCGTAGGCCCTTTTTCATTAGGGCCTACAATTAAAACAAGCAAAATCTAAAGCAAAGCATGTAATTTCACCAGTGAACAGGAGCTCCTGTATTATGCCTTGGGTTATGTTGCTCTACCATTCTTTCTATACCTTCTAATCACCTAATTCTTAATAATTTTGTGAGAACCTAAACCTAAATGGATGCTTTCTAAAATATTTACATGCCTTCATAGATGATAAATAAAGGTAGACGACTTATTGAAAGAAGAGGGAAACCCAGAAATCCTTCTGCCCAACTCTGGCTTTATGGGGTATAAAGTGTGTCCATTGACCTCTTTGGATTTGGAGGACAAGAAGCTCAACTAAGTGATTTAACTCCTTTAAATTAAGGCTTATTCTAGCCGCCTTACAGATGAAGCTCATTTGAATTCTCCAGAGTTGTAGACTTCGTCCTTTTGGTCCTGCAATCCCAGCCGCATGCTCTGAAAGCTTGTACGATGTGACTGACAGATCATCATCCTGCACTTTATGACCATAAAGTGTTTTTTTTCTTTTTTCTTTTTTTTCTTGTTGCAGGACAATGATCTGAAAGGGTCTAATGATGAGTTCACTGACTCTAATCAGCTGTACTGCCAGGAAGGATTAGTACATATGGATCTATGGCCCTATTTGCTTCTAAAACCCAGCGTGCATATTGAGCAGCTCTGAGTTTCCAAGTTTTAAGGAATGATTTCATGAGGATTTCTAATGGAAAATATCTCTATCGCTTGCAGTTGAGACCTGAAATGTCTTTTGATCATGTGGGGTCCTGGATTCTGTTGACCTTGTCATTGCTGTGATTAACACATCAGCTCTGCCGTGTTAAAAGAGCAAAGGCTTCACAGCTATAGTTACACAGTTGGGGCACAATCCTCTCTTCATCCTCTAATCTGTAACTCTGCAGAACTCAAAAGATCTTCATGGTGTCCAATTTAAAGCGATCAGATCTTCGTGACCAGAAAATCATGTTAACCTCCTCCGTTCTTTGTATCAGCTCATGGGTTATTCATAGCCGTCACCAAAAATATGATAAAAGTCTGTTAAGGGAGACATCGGTCTGTTGCTGATAACAGACCAGGAACTGAAATAAATGACCTCTCTGGTCCAAACCCTTTCTGGACTTTTCATCTTTCATCGCCAGATTAATGGTGTCAAGAAATTACTCAAACTGTTGCTCGTCTCTTTTAAGCCGTCTTCGTTCTCCTCAACCATCCTCTCTTCTTATCTCCCCTTATCATAATTGCTGTACTGTGTTTTCACTTTCCCCTCAGTCAAAGGTGAGGTTAAGAATTTCTGAAAAAGTCCATCCATCCATAGGCTGGTGCCTGTCCCTATCAGTCATTGGGCGAGAGGCCGCCTCAACTGAGGAAAAGAAGCTGAACCAAGCGATGTAACTCCCTGCTCTAACTAAGGCAGAGTCTGTCCACCTTAGAGATGAAGCTCACTTGAATTCTCCAGTCGTAGACTTCATCCTTTTGCTCCTGCGATCCCAACCGCATGCTCTGAAAGCACATGCATTGTGTCGAATCCTTTGGTCAGCTTGTCCATGCGATTGACAGATCATCATTTCTTGTTGCACTGAAATTAAAGCAAAGTTTTCTTCCACGAAATGGGAGATCAAAGGTGTCCACACTTTTGCAACCAGATTTAAAAAAAAAAAAATTCTTCCTTTTTTACCTTTAACAGATTTGTTTTGTTTTCAGGTGTACATAAAATCATATTATATTATGATTATATATTATATAAACTTGGAATTTTACCACCTTTGAGAGCCACGTAATATTAGTGCAGAAGGTCTACCTGTTCATCATGAACAAAAGGTGGCAGTATAGACTAAAGAAACAAAAGGACTCACTGGAGACTGCTCTCGGCATTTAGAGATGACTCCTAGAGCGCTTCCAGAAAGCAGACCCTGCTTACTCTGTTTAAAATCAGACATGAGAACTTTGAATTATCAACTGCTTTCCCATCAGCCCATCTTTTCTGGTCTTAGCTGATGGGCTATTGGTTTCGTCTTTGTTTTCAGGCGGGGCGTGTTCGTGTCACCCTGCTGGCGCGCAGCACAGAATACAGACGGATCCGAAACCAAGTGGAAGTGAGTTCACCACCGCCTTCCGTCTTTCTTCCTTTTTTATCTCTGTTGCTCCTATTTCTCTTCATTGTCTTTCTGCTTCTCTCTCTGCCCTTTACTTAAACAACTCTTCCACTCTGTCATTGATTTGCTGCCCAACTCCATTAAGTGGCTGTTTAAAATCTCACTTGTGATAAAACAGTACAAAAAGGCTTGTGATTTATGTTGCGGCCGTTTGCTCACATCCTTCTCTTGCTCTCGCAGCTGGTCAGTGCCCTCAAGACTGTTCCTCTGCTGGAGGTCAGTGTGGTGGACTACAAATACAAGTGAGTTTCTGAGCGCTGCTTGGAGTCGCTTTGTTTGACTGTAGCTGAAAGTTTCCCGCTGTAGACCAGCGGCCCTCAAATGGCGGCTCGCGGTCAACATCCAGAATAAGACATACATTTAGTTTTGTTTTAGTAAGCATTTCAATGATTAAATCCCTGAGTTCTTTGAGTCACCTTAAAATTGCACTTTTCCCCCTTTTTAGGCTTTTATATTCATTTTTAAAACATTGTTTAAACCCCCTCCTCATATCCATTGTCAGTTTTTTGCAGACGTTTCTTGTCTAAGTATGTAAATTTGGATATTTAACGTCTTGAAATCGGGGCTCTGTCTCTTTAAGAAACTCTTGATCTCTCCAAAACTCCGCCTTCAGGAAAAACGGCGCTCCTCTATTAACTCTGAAAAGTAGCTCATATAATGAGCTCAGCTGATGCGTAGTTCCACCGGTTGTTTGCTAATTGCTGCTGGCTAGTCTGAAGGAGCTGAGTGGGCGGGTTATAGAGGAGGGGTGATCTGTAACACAGAAGCTTCAAAGCTTGGAAACTGCAGCTCTGAGGTGGAGCTGCGTCTCGAAGGCGGAGCTAGGTCCACCCAGGTGTTTTGCACAGCCGAATGGTTGGAGATGAAAAGATTCCTCAAATATGCATGAAAGTATACTGCTCAAAAAAATAAAGGGAACATTTCACTTTAATTTTGTGTGTGGCTCCAAATCCAGGCCTCCATTGGTTAATAAATGTGATTTCCATTGATGATTTTTGTGTGATTTTGTTGTCAGCACATTCAACTTTGTACAGAAAAAAGTATTCAATGAGAATATTTCATTCATTAAGATCTAGGATGTGTTATTTGAGTGTTCCCTTTATTTTTTTGAGCAGTGTATATTTTTTGATGAGGAAATTACATTCTAACATAATGTCAAGTTCAAAGTACTCAATTTCACATAATAACGCTCTTCTAAAATGACATTGTGTTTCCATATGTTTATTGTTTTGAGTGAAAAGAAACTTCTGAACATGAGAGTGTGGATTGATCGTTTGCATTAAATGAACCTTTGGCTATTTGAAAAGTGTCTTTGTGGACCGTCAAGGTGTGAGTAGATGTTGTTCCTGACGTTGAGGTGGACATATGTGGAAATCCTTGTGCGTCTTTCAGGGACGTTCCCTTCCTGGAGCAGCTGAGACTCACCCATAACTCGGACATCTTCATCGGGATGCACGGCGCCGGACTCACGCACCTCCTCTTCCTCCCTGACTGGGCCGTCATCTTCGAGCTGTGAGTGACGTTTCTGTTCCGATTTTACCGCCTGTGTGAGTGAATGTCAGTCGGGCTTCCGGGTTTGGCAGCATCCTCTTAATAAAGCACCTTCCAACCGCTCGGTGTTTGACTGTGAAATCACACCTGGCGAGCCTAGGCAGACAAAGTGTGTGTGTTTGAATGTGTGTGGTAGCTTAAGTGGCTTTTTTTTATAATCATGCATGGCACGAGGGAGTGAAGCATGATGGGCGATGAAGAATAGAAGACTGAGGGAAAGAGAGAGGCGTGGCGGAGAGAACAAGAGCTGAGTGTAGGCGTCTGTCTCTTTTTCAGATATAACTGTCAGGATGAGAGCTGCTATCGAGATTTGGCTCGCCTGCGGGGGATTCGATATGTGACTTGGCAGAAAATGGACAAAGTTCTCCCCCAGGACAAGGTAGGGGAAACTCCGGCACGAGCTGCTGCACTTCGACTTCATTTCCCCCTACATCACACGTCGATGCGACTTTACAGTGTCTCTTAAAAGTATACCTCTTGGAACAACTGCAAACTTCAATCTGTTTTATTGGGATTCTGTGAAGCAGGCCAACATAAAGTAGTGCGTAATTGGTGAAGTTGTGAATGATGCATTGTTTTTTTTGTTTTTTTAAATGCTTAGCAAGTCATCTGAAAAATGTGGTGTGTGTTTGATTGAACTGCTGAGTCAAAGTTCTTTCCAACCACATTTAGCTGTAATTGAAGCCGCAAATGTTTTTTTTTTTTGGTAGAAAGTGGAACTTTACACACCTGAACACTGTGTTTGGCAGTCTGTAGCAGTGGAAAACTGAAAACTAGACAACTGATCATTTCTTGTAACTCTTACACTAAGACTAGATTTCGCAGGTAAGCCCAACCTTATTCATGCCCCTGGCAAATTTAGATTTAAGGTTATATTAGTTCAACCTGTAGGTTTCTGATAGAAAATAAAAAAAGGCTCTCTCAAAAGATGTTAAAACTATTTTGACAGAGTATATACTTAAAAGATGCCGTTTCAATTTACATTTCAATAAAAAATGTTGAAAATAATTTATATTCTTCTCAATAGCCAGTGGAACAGTCGAGCCTTTGTGGTAAGTGATGAGCAGCTTTTTCTTGTTTCCACTGGTATTTTGACAATTTATCTTTGATGATGGGTTCACAGTTTTTTAATCTTTAGCTCCCTCCACAGATTTAAGTTGTGTTTCTGGCTGGGCCTTTGAAAGAAGTTAACATTAAAATTCAAAGATTATTTTAAAATTAAATCGGTAACACTTTATTTGACGGGGTGTGCATGAGACTGACACGACACTGTCATATACATGACATGTTATAAACAGTTATAAACATGTTATAAACACTTTTAACGACACTTTGCATTAAAAGTGTCGTTATTTACTGAATGACTCTTCATGACAACAGTCGCAAACATTCATGAAGACTCCTTCATGTTCATAACAGATATTATGTCATGTTTATGACCGTGTCATGTCACCCCGTCAAGTAAAGTGTTACCATTAAATCTTACAATGAATATCAATTCATGCCACACTTTTCAGATTTTTACTAGTCAAAAATCTTATTCCTCCCGACTCACAGTTCTTTGTGTTGGTAAAATCCCAGGAAAGTACATTGAATTTTGTGGTTTTAGGCTTTAAAAAAAAACAACAAAAAAAACCTCAAAATCTAAGAACATGTTTGCAAAATATTATAGTTGTAATGTGCGTTTACAGTTCCAGCACACTAAACTGTTTTTCGGCAGGTTGAAAACACAAACCCCCGCCCTGCTGTACTCTTCTATTAAACTTTTCTTTTGCTCCACGTCTTCTCTCATCCTCTACTAGGGCCATCATCCGACACTTGGGGACCATCCTAAGTTTACCAACTACTCCTTTGATGTGGAGGAGTTTATGCGCATCGTGCTGGAGGCGGCTGATTATGTCACCCGGCATCCCAAATGGCAGCGCGGCATCCGTCACGATGAACTCTGAAGCGTCTGACGCCTGCAGCGGAGGCCTTTACTTGAATTTCAAGCAGAGCGTGTTTTAAGGCCGTTGCTAAAAGTTACCTCACCGACCGGCAAAATCTCAGTCGCCACAGTGTTACGTTCGCCGCCTCCAGTCTGCTGCTCCGACGGATCCGGATGAAAGAAAGAAGTACGGCGACAGCTCCGGTTTTTGAGTAGATTCCTCTAGCCTTGTTAGTGTCGGATCAGTGAAAGGCTGCGCGGAGCTGAAGCAGCTGGAGAGCGATCAGACGTCCCCCCCATGTTTCTTCATTACTTCCGCAGCAGCCACTTCATTCCACGTCGTCAAAGTCGGTAAATGAGCAGCTGTTTCGGCACGCCTTCACGTGCGACGTCCCGTCCGCTTCCATCAGCGTCACGTTGACGGGAGCCTCTCGAGGGCCGCTGACAATCATGGTACAGTTTTTGCGAGCGCAGCCGGCAGAAACCAGCCGAATGTCGCAACACATGGAGTGAAACACTTCCCAAGTTACTTTTAAGTTTTCACTGCGCCACTAAAGCGTAAAAATACATACATTGTAATCTCAGATCAATTTTACGAAACACTATAGGTTTGTTTTTACATGCGGAGCCTTGTGAAAGGGTTCAACACCCCGAAATATTTCCACATTTTGTCACATTACAGCCACTTTTCACTGTATTTGACTTGTTTTTGTACTTGATAGAACTCAAAGTAGCGCATAGTTGTGAAGTGGACTAAACCGATTCTAAATATTGTCTGAATTTTGTTAGAGGTAACAATCTGATGCCCCTAAATACAAACCAGTGCACCCAATTTTCCTGCAGAGGCCCACGGCTCATGTGGAAGAATTTGTTGAATGGTGCATTCCACCAGAGAGGCGGTTCTACAAAGTATGAATTTGGGGGCCCATATACAAATGCAGACCACACTTCTCAGATTTTATTTGTAAAAAAAAAAACAAACCCATAAAGGCAGTTCTTCATTTTGGTTCCACTTTACAGTAATGAGCTACTTTATGTTAGTTTGTGACATGAACTCCCAGAAACTCGGACGTGAATGTGTAAAAATTTTAAGAGGTTTGTTTTCATTTGAAAGGCGCAACATGTGTGTGACATCCCAGTCTTCATTCATGTTTTACTCTCGTTGTTTGGGTCCAGTTTCATGCAGCAACTGCGTCTTACTAAGTACACGTGATTCAAATATTCTCATCGCTACGGTAACTCTAAAAGGTGAAGACAGAGCAGGCAGTCTGGAGGGTAATTCTTTTTAAGTATCAGTGTTAATGTTTGAGTTTTGTAGTTAGTATTATTAAAGCAAATTCAATTATGTGTCACTAAAGTATAAAGTATTTTATACAGATTTGTGAGATTTTGTTTGTTTAACTTTGATTGTTACACATTTGTTTACATTTTTGTTTTAACTTTTATCACAATCATGGTTTTATGTTTTTAAACACCTTTGAGTCTCCAGATAGTGACATTATGAAGAGTCTGCTACGATCTGTAAGTTTTTCAACGCCCTTAGTGTTAATTGACATCATATATGATGATAATTAAGTTGAGGAAGAAGAAAAAAAAAAGTACATGTGTGTAGTGTAATACAAAACAGAGTACTTTCATCTGTGGGCACAGTTTTGTTTTTTATTTATCAATGGTTTTCCTGAACTAGTAGACATTTTTGAATTCAAAAGCAGTGTGCTATTTTGAAATAAATAATTCTTTTAAAATGCTGATGTGTGTGTGTGTGCTGTTGATTTTTTAACATCAGAGATTTAATTCTTCTCAATTTAATCAATCATCTTCTGAAGGCTGGCCTTGCCGGGGAGGAACCGGAGCGTCCGTCTGTTCGGTTCCTGCTGATGCCATGCGGCTCTTCGCTACTGATTCCTTTAGTTTAGAGAGTCGGGTTGTAAAAAGAGGGAAAGAGCTCTTTCTTTGTTTTGATTGTCACCATAATATATATATATATCTGAATAACCTCAAAAATCTGCTTGATTTAGAAGTGGCATGTCAACGCCACATGAGGGCAGTGTAACACCACGCCTGAGGCGAGACGTTAAGCCTGCGCTCTGGATTCGCTCCTGGCTGCTGGTGCAACGGAGGCGCCAGGAAATAAATAATTTACAGATACAACTGAGCAGGTAGTGTTTGATGAGTTGCATTTTCTTACTGTATCACAATTTCTATTTTTTTTGTTTTTTTTTGTTTCTTGTTTTGCAGCGGACAGCCGAGCTCCTGTGCACTATTGACAGGACGCCTAGCCCGTCTGGTTTGGACACCATTTCTGGCTCTGCTCAGGTTGACCTCGCATAAATGAAATACAGCTTCTTGAAGAAAAACACAAGAACCCAAGTATGTGTATCCTCAGTAACCCTGTCTGAGTGGATGATGCAACGCAAAAACCGACTACGGTCATATCTGCTCATAAAGGTGTGAGGGGGTTTGGCTTTTCTGCTCCTGAGAGCTCATGCTCGTCTCTAGCGGCAGATGCAGAATATGCACACAAGTTAGTGATGTTGCTCCAACACGTTTTCATCTGAACAAACAGGAGTCACATTCTCTGCCTGAAGCCTCGGCTCGACGTTCTATAGATACTTACTTTCAATGGTTGTTGCATTTAGTCGTGTTGTAGATAAGGTCTTAAACAGATAAGCAGAAAATTTTCCTGCAACTCAAAACCAGTTTGGTTGTCAAACCTCTTGCCTTATTTTCCCACTGACATTGTTTTGATTGCCTAAAGTGACCTTAGAGTTGTCTGTTTTTGCAATTTTCCAACATGACGATATAATGTCTCGTTGTTGAACCTTTGTAGGCGTCAAGCTGTTCTTTTCATTTCAATGAAGTAAAGAGAATGGCTTCCTACGTCTTAAAAAAGGAGACCTTTTATTGACACACTGCAGTGCACTTTAATGTAAATGTTTTCTCACTAAAAACATGTTCAATGGCACAGAAAGCACTATAATAATGCACCAACTACTTTCCAGTTTAAAATGTTCCAAAAATATTGGAATTTGTTTGTTAAAAATGTATCGTTGCGAGATCAGACTCACCGAAAAAACACACTTCTGTTTGTTTTGATGTATTGGTATGTATTCACATACTTAGTAAAAAAAAAAAAAGGCATTTCAAGTCTGTTAAACTGAGATTTACAAAGGCACATTAGGTGGCGAATTTCTGTTTTTCCCTTGAGTAGCACACAACTAATATCTGATCAACACTTACAGAACACAAACGGGGATGATAGGTCATATGTTTACATACAGGGAATGAGCGGCAGCACCAGATCCTTACAGTGGTGTGGGACGTTTTAACTTGAATTAAGAGCGAAGGGATAAAGGCTCTGCTTAACCCTAGGAAATGGGATTCAGCCTAAATCTATTACAATCCACTCATCTTACGGTGCCCACTTTCCCATTCATCCACAGAGCAGATCAACAGGGAGGTTAATGCAGGAATATTGATCTTGGAGGGGAAAGTATTCTTGAAGTTAAAAGTCGATTTTTTTTTAATCTTTCTGTCCGATGATTTCCTCCTACGGGGTGAGAGAGGATTATTCAAGAATAGGTCCCATAACTCCACATCACACGACTCGGCGAGACAAACGTCAGGCTGCATAATGCGAGCTTTTATGACAACACCTAGACGCAGCTCCGTCCAGAGCTTGAAGCGCCTGAAAAGACTGATCTTCATTTCGGTCAAACTGGTAAAAAGAAAAAAGAACTACATATGTAAACGGGGGAAGTGTAAAAAGAGTGGGCTAAATTTTGCACCGCTCATCTGCGTCCAGAAAAAGTGTTTGATGCAGTTTTTCACTGATGCTATCTGGGCCATTTGATGAAGAGGAGATGAGATAAGTGCTGTGGGCTGTTGCCTCCATTAGCTGCCTGGCTTTAAGATAAAAGCAACCCCTGATCCCCACTGGGACGTACATGCTCTGTTCTGCAGATTCAGATTCAGCAGGAACTTTATTTCCTTCTTCCTCCTTTTCTTCTACAGCTGTTTGCTTGTTTGGGAATCTTTGCAAAAGAGAGAAAGAAAGAAAAACGCGTGAAGAAAAGCCCCGGGACAGTCTGTAGCTGTCCGTGGTGTTGAAACTGGGCCACCCTTTCGCTTAAAAGCTCGCTACCTGAATTTCGCAACTAGGTCTTACAAAGTACCTCACTTCTAGCAAACCTACATCAGTGCCTCATCTACTCTCAGTTCAAAGCCAGACGGATCGATTCGCTATAGATCCGAGCAAAGATTAATCTGCTGAAAACAACACCGCTGCACTTTTTCTTTCTGTTCGCAGGTGGCACACTTGGTCCAAAAGGTGTTCTTAGGAACTAAAACAGCGTCGTTACCCCCTACACCTCATCCAAGTGTATGTTGCATGCCTCTAATTGCGTTGATTAGCTGCCGACGCTCTCGTTTACTCCTCTCCCCCCAGAAAAATCCCCCAAAAGTACCTTTGACAGAAGCGGTACTGGCAGTGGGAGCGCAAGGGAGACATCCGAAAGTATCGGATACCCCTCACCTCGGGTCGTTAGTGGACATCGATCTCTTCTAAGCCTTAATGACTGCAAATACAGCGCAGAACAATCAATCGCCATCAACACGCTGGAATATTCTGGGATGGGATAATTGATAGGCTGTCTCCAGGCACGCAATGGAGAGGCTGCGGTGATTAAATTCTGTTTAACGTCTCGGTGGTGGTCCGTGTGCGCGCCTCTTTGTTTATGGGTGTGCGGTTCAGGCTCAGAGATGGGGGTCTGTGGTGGAAGGGAGTAGGCTTACATCATCGCGCATCTCCAAGTGTTGGAACATGACGCCGGGCCGGCTATTGTTGGACGAGCGATGAGGCACCTGAGCGGCTCAGCTGTCCATCTGTCAGGTACGCACTCCCCCTTCCTCGGCTCACACACGCGTACCTTCACACACACATATAACGAGGTGCCGACGAGTGACTGGACACACACACATGGTCTCCTTGTGTTTGTGTAATAAATAAATAAAAAAAACTCCCTTAAGGTGGAACTGTTAATATTAAAAAGAAAACATTTGGATGGCTAATTTATGCCATTTCCAGTTGGTATTATGTCACCTTTATTAGGCATAGATAGAGAGCAAAGAATGTAATAAATGTTTTGTCTTCAATAAGGTAAAAGTGAGTAGGAATTATTCGTAGCAATATAAATAGGTCAGTTATTTATCAATAAACAATTAGTTCATTAAAGTAGAAGTGATTGGATGTTAGGTTTTTTTCATGGTTCCCGGTGAATCATGAAGTAATCTGTGACTCAACAAGTGTAGACTCTGATTAGGTAGCCTCCTCTGTCAGTTTGCGTCAAAAGTCAGAACTCGGATCTGGGAATGATATCAACTCAAATAAAGCGTGTTGTAGTTGCAATTTGGTAAGCCACAAGGATTTACCGAAGCCGTGGCTGCTAGGTAACCTTCCCAGTCTCCTCTCCCACAGTTCAGTGGGCCTCCTCGTTGAATTTCAGTCTGGAAACTCTTCCGACTACAAATAGAATGTATCAAAAGCTTTTTCCTTCCTACCATCACAATCGTAAACATGTGGAATCACTGGGATTAAACTGAAACTTTGGGCTTTAGTCATGAATGACTGATATTGAGTTTTTCAGAAACAAATGCTGCTGCGTGGTTTGGGGTGAAACATAGGATGAACATGTGGAAAAGGCCCTCATGCCTCTATGCTAAGTATGGTTGAGGATCTGTCATGCTGTGGTCTTGTTGCTCTTCCAGAAACAATGGGACCTGTCATAATGGACTACCGTAAATACAAGGAAATTTGAAATTAAAAACTTGTGCTCTTTACCAGAAAACTAACAGTGGGTCATCAATAGATGTTTTTCATACACATTTTCTATCCACAAAAATTAAAAACAAATTAATTTCAATCCACTTATCTTAACTGCAGTAGTGCCAGCTGCACCCTTTGACTTTCATGGGTAAGGCTTTGTGGTTTATAAATTTTATTTGCATTTACTCATTTTACAACGGTCCACTTATTTGCATATGCATTTACTAATATTGTTGTGGCTTGTAATTTTGTAGTTGTTTGAAACTTTACCTATATATTAAGACGTTTCATTAAATGAATTTCGTCACATCTGGACTTCCATAGGATTTTTATTTTTTATTTTATTTTTTTAGGAACCCTGGGATAAAACAAACATTATTCGGCAAAGATTGGCTCTTTAACATCTAAAGCGCTTTGATCTGCTCCGTCTCTACTCGGACCTGCTGGAGTCCAGGCTGCTGTGTGAACTACGTGACATCAGTGAGGGAGCAGAAGAAGAAGCGGGGTGCGCAGCGGAGCCGGGTGAACTGGGCGGGCGCTGTTGCACGTGTTCTGAATCGGGGAGGTCGGGCTCGCATCGCGTTCCTCATGTCCAATCGATCCCCGCTCGGGAGGAGCGACGGGAGAGCATCAGGAGTATCACTCCTGCATCCCTGAATCCCTTCACTCTCATCAGCATCTCTCTCGGGCGACCGCGGCGCATCTCCGTGTCAGACTCGGGCAGCGGCTTGGAGGGAGGAAGAGGAGGAGGGGGTAAGAGGAACTTGTT